AGACCAGTATCTTTCCATTCAGCCACAAAGTTTCTCTGCACCTCTGCAGATACCACAGCACAGTGAATTCATGAATACCACAGCCCTATGATGAAGCGACAGTGCCTTTTGGGGTCTTTCAAAAGCTTGTGTTAATATACCCCTCAGAACAAGCTTTCCACTTAAATGTACATTTATGTGTGTATAGAGACGCACAATCATTGTAAGCAGGACACTGATTTAAATCTCAGACAAAGCACAGACTTCTTTCAAAGGGTAAGCAATCTGCATCTCCCCTACCTCCTGGGTGGTGAGCGGCATGGAGAAGTCAGGGCTGCAGAGGTCAACAAAACAGTCTCCCTGCTCATCCTGATTCCGGTAGGGGGAGACTGTTTGAAACTGGGTTCCTAACAGAGAAGAAAGGGATGTCTCTACCTGCTGTATATTTACTGTGTATGTGAACATTATGTAGCAAATTAAGCTTCTAACAGAGAGAGCTTATTTTTTTAAAAAGACAAAATATTATAGCGAGGCAGAAAAGAATAGGGAATGGAAGGTCTTAAAATGTTGCTTCAGATACTATGAAGTTCCCCTTATGATACTTTTTAGTGAGACTCTTAACAAAAGCCACTTTGAAAAATATTGTACTAGGGGCTGGGGATTTAGCTCAGCGGCATAAGCACCTGCCTTGTAAGCAGGTGGTCGTGAGTTCGATCCCCGGTACCAATAAAAAAAAAAAAAAAAAATATATATATATATATATATATATATATATATAGTACTAAATTTAATTTTTAAAAAATATTAGGATAAAAAACTTTCTAATCATTGTTGGGCAGACTTGGTTATGCTTAAAATGTGTTCTTCTATCAACATTTTTGTGTTTTTTAAATTGTAAATAGAAGTTTTTCCAGACAATGTGCTTGTTTCTTTATATGGCTAGGCATTTATTATTTATACAACTGAAACTCAAGTACATAACATCTGATATTATTCAACTCTTATCTACAAGAATAAGTATCATTTAGTTCCAAGAAAAATTTTTCGTATTTCACTTGAAATCACGACCTTAATGAAATTATTAAAATTTAAACATGATACATATTGGTATATTTTCAATTATAATAAAATCAATTTTCTCTATTTCCCAAAGGTATTGAACCCTACTGGTGATTTTGCAGATATTTATTATAAAATCTACACTCTAATTTTATGCAATCTGAAATCTTAAATAGGCAATAATAAAACCCAAGATTCAATATCTTCTTTATATAATAATCATGATAAAATAGTGGCACTGGCAAATGTCAGTTTATATTTTGGTAACTGTTAGAGCTACAAACCTGACATCTGTAATCTGTGAGTCATAAAAATACAGTAAATTGGTATAAATTTAGTTTAGTCATTCAAAAAGAATGAAGGTTGTCACCTGCCTTCCTTTGTGACTTGATCATCTTGGACTGTTTTTGTTAAAATATAAAAAGAAAAAAAAAAGATATTCCAAAGGAAAGAGCTAATAATAAATAGTGAAGCAAGACGATTAATCAAGGAGCTTACTATACTTTGCCAGTTTGCACAGTCCTAAAAGGTGTTAATTTTCTTTTTGGGGTGTTAAAATTCTGCAAAGTCATTTTTAAAAAAGTGATAATACACACAACCCTTCGCATTTTTACACCAACCCCAGAGTAGTACAACAGTCTAGTCTCTTTTGTAAAATGGGGACAATAATACCTGCTGTGACAGGAGAGTCCCTGTAATTGATTGATTAATGTCTGTTAGACACAATAAGGCATCTGGATTAAAGGAACTTAAGAAGTAATGAGCACAAAAATGTTTTTCAGTTACTACTCTGGTTGCAATACAAAACAGGTACATTGAAGTTGAAAATATTACTCCTGAAGTCCTGGAGGAAAAAAAGTTCATTCGAAATACTGTGGTATTTCGACAGTCTGTGTCTTCTATAGAGTGTGTAACTTACAGAGAAAGCTTTTACAAGTTCCATGTGAAGTGTAATTTCAGGATGTTGTGTGCTAACTAGAAAATCTCAAAAAGAATCCAATTAACAAACAGTTATGCTTAATAATTCAGCTTACTAAATGCCATTACATAACAATACTTGTTTAATGTATAAATAGAACGTTGTTTTTGAAATATAATTACATAACTCAACGTCTGCTTCTATATAAATGTTCGATATTATTTCTGTCTTCAACTAATAGACCAAAGGTGACCTAGGTTTACAAATATCCCATGACCTATTTAAGCAGCAAAGAACAGGGAAGCAATTTTACTATGGCCCAGGTGATTTAATTCCTAAAGTGCTAATCAGGTACAAGATAGATAAGAGCATCCTATGTCTTTGTTATACAAAATATGCACTGACAAAGAGGTATATGGATTACAAAGGTCTAATTGGAAACCTAATACATACACTGTATTGAAATATCTACAATGCATGTCAAATGTATATGTAATGTTTTATTTTACATTCACTGAATAAAAACTGATAAAATGCAGCTGGAAAACCAATACCTAGTCCCTTACAAAAGCTATTTCCTTAATTCATAATTTTACCCAAACAACTTTTCCTAAAAAGCACAGCAGAAGTGGATGGGAATAGTTCCCATACACATGCCTTATGTAGTGTTTTGAGCAGAAGCTTCAATTTACAAAAAAGGGTTAGGAATATGGGACTTTATATTTAACTTTCTTCTACCAATATTAATAAAATCTCCAATAACCGCACTCACTCAGAGTTTAGTTATCAGAAAATATGGCAAATAAGTTTCATCTACTGTAATAGATACAAGGAATTCTAATAATTTAGGTCTTCCAAATAAATACCTAGCAGACAGAATGCCCTGAGACAGTAGGTCTATTTCTACATTTTATAAGAATCTAGACATATCTCATTCTGGGGTTTTGACCTGTGGTCTAATTTACTTGAAGTCTGTTAGTAATAAATTTGATCATGGATTATTATTTTTTTTTCTCTTCTGTAATCTCCATCCTCTGTTCATACTAAGGTTTCGGGTTCTGCCAACAAGTCAACCTTCCCCTTAGCAAACAGAAATAATTCCACTTGGTAATGATGTTAAACAATTATCCCTAAACGATGTGCTCCCACTGTATGACTTTAAAAGGACTAAGGTACAATTAGAATATAATTGTAACATTTATGCAATGAACTGCAGTAGTTGTGCTGCTATATTTTTTGTAAATGTAACAGAATAATGGTTCATTTATTTGAAAATAGTCCAGAGCATAAATTAGGTGACAATTGGAGCAATATACCAGCTTTAATTGTAAAATTTCTGAATGGCAAAATGTGGAAAGATAAAAGAATCCATTAATTGACCCTCATTATTGTATTGGGAAATATTGTACTGTTGACATTTGGATACTACTGCAATCTCTTATTCTTTAATTTTTATATATTCTAATCATACAAAATATGATTAAAATAGTTGGTTGTATAAAAACACTATCATCGTTATTGCCTGATAGAAGGCTTTTATATTTTACATGTAAGGATTTGGGTGATATTGTATATTAACGGATTTTTACAGTAAACTTATCGGCCCAGTAAAAACAAAATTGTGAATATTCAGCTGAAGAAAACTTTAAAAAAACAAGGTCTTACATTTTCTTGCAAAGAAACTATACGAAACAATTATTTATTCAATATATAGTTTGGTAAGGCTTGGTAAGTGCTTTTTTAAAAAAACTTTTAAATGTCTAAAAACAAATGCTCACATTTAGAAAGAAAATGACTGTTTTACAAAAAAAGATATTTTTAATTATGCCATCAGAGTGCAAATATGAAGACCCTCTAATGCCCTTACATCCGAATACAGTATAGAGAACACAGAGGTTTAAAATAAATGTCCTTTACTCTTCCCAAGTTAGGACGAGTTATTCAATCATGCATCAAGACCTTCTCAGGCAACCTTTACAAGTTATTCAGAAAAATAAAAATTTCCCCAAGTGAACTGTTATGTTAACGCCTCAAACTTAAGTATCTGGCTTTTACCTAAAACCTTACACACACCGTCGCGGTTTACTGATTTTAAAAGATGGGTTTCACACCGACACTGCCGCAGGGGCCAGCGTTAAAGGTGGAAGTTAATCCCGTCCGGAGCCACCGCACCGGGCTCTGGAACCAAACTCAGCAATGTGTGAGGAGTGCTACCGCGCTGGAGTCGGGGAAATGAATTACATGGAAGGAAAAAAGATATTATAGAAGAGCTGGCATCAGCGGAAAGTGCAGAGGAGAGAGGAAGCGCTCCCAGCCCGGGAGCAGCTGCTTGGGACTCCTTCCAGCGCGGAGGCCGAGTTCGCGGCGCGGGCGGGCGGGCGGGCGGATGGCGGCCGGGGCTCCGCGGGAGCCGAGCCCGCCACTTGCCTTCCCGGGCACTTTCCACGCCCTGGCACGAACGAAGCCTTTGGACGTTCTTCCAGGTCAGGACTGAGACCTGCGCCTCCGCAGCGGACGTGCGCGGCCCGAGTCTCGCGGCGGGGAGGCACTGCGGCTCTCGCCCCGGTGCGCTCGGCCCCTCCACTCAGCGAACGCAAGTAGGAAACGTGCAGCACCGCAGGAACAGGCGCTCGGTGACCCCGCCCGCCCGCGGCGGCGGCGTTGGAGGCTCCCGAAGCACGCGCCGCCCCTGCTGGCCCGAGCGCCCGGCTCCGCAGCTCCCGCCTGCAAGCGCCGGCGCCGTCTCCCCACACCCCTCCCTCGCGGACCCTGCCGCGCATGCTCAGTACGCGTCCCGGAACCCGGCTCCCCCGGGGCCGGGATCACTGCTCCGGGTTTTCGCGGCTGCCGGGCGGCGCTGGGGAGGCGAGGCTGGGAGACAGTCGGCTCCTTGTTCGGTACCCCTCCCTCGGCGGGCTGGGGCCGCCCGCTCCGCAAGATGCGGACCAATCAGGGAGAGGGGCGGGACCTCAGTCGTCACGCCCTCCCTCTGGGCTTATTGAGAGTTATATCAAGAAATTCAGTTCAGAGAGAGGAGAGGGAGGAGAGGGGGCAGAGGAGCAGGCAGAAAGGGAGAGCGAGCACGCGAGACGGAAGGAGCGCCTGAGACTAAAGCACGAAGGAGATCACCGTTTAGGAATTTGTTGGGTCACTGTCACCCAGGAAAGCAGCCAGAAATTCAGCATCACCCCAACTCTGACGTTTTCTCCAAGAAGTTAGAGACTTGAACAGTATTGACATCAGATGGGAATGGTTGCTTGATGCTGTGGAAATACTCCTGAACTGAAGAAGTACAACTGGATGTTGTGTACGCGTGTTAAATACCAGAAGAGCCCAGACCCAGTGGGTAACACTGACGAAATGTGGAGAGAATGACTAACGACAAATCTGTGAATTTGTTCTGGGGAGTTGCTCATTTGCCAGCCCGAAGCCACACATTTTAGAAGGAGGAAACGTTTTGCTGCTTCTGATTTCTCCCCAAAGTGGTGCTACCAGATGCATGGCTTTCTGTGTTGGAACAGATCATTCCTAACTGCCGCATACGCGGAAAGGGGAAAGGTTGAGGCAACTAACGTAAGTGTAAAGTTTCGCATACACAATTGTAAATTCTGTGTTCGGATATGTCCTCGGTGTAGATGAGGGATGTTTGTAATTGGGCAAACGGTTGGGGCAGAGCTCTCCTGCTCGGCTGTATCTGCAACCCTACCTGCATCACTCTGCCGGAACTAATCGCGGGCATCAGCTACCGTGCAGTCTAATGCAGATAAGATTAGAGTCTGGGAACTGACCAGTCCTATTCAAGTAGGTAGTGCCTGGAGCCTTTGCACCCGTTTAAATTGCAGTTAGGGGAGCATGTGAGCAGAAGCCTTTTTGAGTGCACTATTGGATTGCAGTTATTTATGTGAAGCAAATGTTACTAATATAACCAGAGACCAGGGTTAAGAAACTGCATTTCTTTCCTGTAGAAAATATTGTGGTGTTCTGTGGAAATGTTAGCTGCGTTTCACTTACAATTTCAGCACTCTTTCACCTCTACGACAAGAAATCTGTATATTTCTACATTTTTAAAAGTTTTAATGTGTTTATGAATCTGAATGATGATAATTTGGCAAAAAGGAGAAAGCAGAGCAGGCTCTGGGTAAGAAATTTGAAGTCTTGGTATTGTGCTTTTAGGCAATAAGAATATGTAGTGGCCGGTGACTATTGCTTGTGATGCCGCAGCAGCATGTCCGGGTGCTCCTTCCCCAGTAAGACTGTATTAGAAGGCAGCTGAGGATCCGGGAGGGAAGAAAGAGCTGGTCTTTTTAGAAGAAACAGATGACTCAGTGTGGCAGAGAAGAAAACACATCGTATTTGACATGTGACAAAGCAATTAACAAGAACCATAGCTAAGCACTTAGGATTTTTCACTTGCACCTAAAGCAACTAAGGGAGGTGGGTTAGAGGCCAGGAGGTGGATAAGACAAGAGGAGGGGAGAAAGAGAGGTAGAATGCATGTTTTGAATTAGAGAGTATTAAAAAAAAAAAAAAAAAAAAGCAGATGGGGAAACATTGGTAAAAATAGCTGCTCTCTTTAATTCAAAAGTAGATAATTTCATTTTCTCTGGGCAAATGCAACAAGCAGGGATTTTTGGTGTTTTTTGTTTTGTTTTGTTGGTATTTTTTTTTCCCCACAGAGTTAACTTGCAAACAGTAACAGAGCAAACTGCCATGTTTACTAATATGCAGTAGAAAATCTGGTTGGCTGTTTTGTGATTGTGCTTTTATTTACTGAAGAATAATATTGTCTGTACGATTGTGTTGACAGTGGCTGTCTCCAAATAAGCGATGAGATGTAATGCATCCTCCAGCCCAGGCACACTTCCTCTTACAATCTGTGCATCATTCCTCAGTGGAAACCTTTAAACCCTAAAATCCAGGAAAAGAAAATAAATACATTATCATGGACCTAAGGGATTTTTACCTGTTGGCTGCTTTGACTGCCTGTTTAAGGCTGGATTCCGCAATAGCCCAAGAACTTATTTACACTATTAGAGAGGAATTGCCTGAAAATGTGCCCATAGGAAACATACCAAAGGATCTGAACATTTCTCACATCAATGCTGCCACAGGGACTAGTACCAGCCTTGTCTACAGACTGGTTTCTAAAGCTGGGGATGCACCTTTGGTGAAAGTATCCAGCAACACTGGAGAAATTTTCACAACTTCCAATAGAATAGACAGAGAGAAACTCTGTGCTGGAGCTTCTTATGCTGAGGAGAATGAGTGTTTCTTTGAACTTGAGGTGGTGATCCTCCCCAATGACTTTTTCAGGCTGATCAAAATAAAGATAATTGTCAAGGATACCAATGATAATGCCCCCATGTTTCCATCTCCTGTCATCAATATTTCCATTCCAGAAAACACTTTGATCAACAGCCGCTTTCCAATTCCATCAGCAACAGATCCTGACACAGGCTTCAATGGTGTACAGCATTATGAATTGCTAAATGGGCAGAGTGTTTTTGGACTGGATATCGTGGAGACTCCAGAGGGAGAGAAGTGGCCACAGTTGATTGTTCAGCAAAACTTGGATAGAGAACAGAAAGATACCTATGTGATGAAAATCAAAGTGGAGGATGGAGGTACTCCACAGAAATCCAGCACGGCCATACTGCAGGTCACAGTAAGTGATGTAAATGACAACAGGCCTGTGTTTAAAGAGGGCCAGGTGGAGGTGCATATTCCAGAGAATGCTCCTGTGGGGACCTCTGTCATCCAGCTTCATGCCACTGATGCAGACATAGGCAGTAATGCTGAAATTCGGTACATTTTTGGTGCCCAGGTTGCCCCTGCAACCAAAAGACTCTTTGCTTTAAATAATACTACTGGGCTGATTACAGTTCAGAGGTCCTTAGATAGAGAAGAGACAGCCATTCACAAAGTGACAGTGTTGGCCAGTGATGGCAGCTCCACTCCTGCTCGAGCAACTGTTACCATCAATGTCACCGATGTAAATGATAACCCTCCAAACATAGACCTCAGGTACATTATAAGTCCCATCAATGGCACAGTGTATTTGTCTGAGAAAGACCCTGTCAATACGAAGATTGCCCTAATTACAGTTTCAGATAAGGACACAGATGTGAATGGCAAAGTGATCTGCTTTATTGAAAGAGAAGTTCCATTTCATTTGAAAGCAGTCTATGACAACCAGTATTTGTTAGAGACCTCTTCTTTGTTGGACTATGAGGGCACCAAAGAATTCAGCTTTAAAATTGTTGCCTCTGATTCTGGGAAGCCCAGTTTAAATCAAACTGCCCTGGTAAGGGTTAAACTTGAGGATGAAAATGACAACCCACCAATTTTCAACCAGCCTGTAATTGAGCTGTCAGTTTCTGAAAACAACCGACGTGGGTTATACTTAACAACTATTAGTGCCACAGATGAAGACAGTGGGAAAAATGCAGACATTGTTTATCAGCTTGGACCCAATGCCTCCTTCTTTGATCTGGACCGAAAGACAGGAGTTTTGACAGCCTCCAGAGTGTTTGACAGAGAAGAACAAGAAAGATTCATTTTTACAGTAACTGCCAGGGACAATGGGACCCCTCCCCTCCAAAGCCAAGCGGCTGTGATAGTTACTGTTCTGGATGAGAATGACAACAGCCCCAAGTTTACTCATAACCATTTTCAATTTTTTGTGTCTGAGAACCTGCCAAAGTATAGTACTGTGGGGGTAATCACAGTGACAGATGCAGATGCTGGAGAAAATAAAGCTGTGACTCTTTCCATCCTAAATGACAATGATAATTTTGTGTTGGATCCCTATTCTGGAGTCATAAAGTCAAATGTCTCATTTGATAGAGAGCAGCAGAGTTCCTACACTTTTGATGTCAAAGCCACTGATGGAGGACAACCACCCCGCTCCTCTACTGCAAAAGTGACTATCAATGTCATGGATGTCAATGACAACAGCCCAGTTGTCATTTCTCCACCATCTAATACATCCTTTAAGTTGGTGCCCCTCTCAGCCATTCCCGGGTCTGTGGTAGCAGAAGTGTTTGCGGTGGATATTGACACTGGAATGAATGCAGAACTGAAATATACCATAGTGAGTGGGAACAACAAAGGCTTATTTCGCATTGATCCAGTAACAGGTAACATCACGCTGGAGGAAAAACCAGCACTTACTGATGTGGGTTTGCACCGTTTGGTGGTCAACATAAGTGACCTGGGGTACCCCAAGGCTTTGCACACACTTGTGCTTGTGTTTCTCTATGTGAATGACACTGCTGGAAATACCTCCTTTATCTATGACTTGATCCGCAGGACTATGGAGACACCACTGGATAGGAACATAGGGGACAGCAGTCAGCCCTATCAAAACGAGGACTATCTCACCATCATGATTGCCATTGTTGCTGGGGCCATGGTAGTCATAGTTGTGATCTTCGTCACTGTTCTGGTGCGCTGTCGACATGCATCAAGGTTCAAAGCCGCTCAAAGGAGCAAACAAGGTGCCGAATGGATGTCTCCAAACCAGGAGAACAAACAAAACAAGAAGAAGAAAAGGAAGAAAAGAAAGTCTCCCAAGAGCTCTCTTTTGAACTTTGTGACTATTGAAGAGTCCAAACCAGATGATGCAGTTCATGAACCTATCAATGGGACAATAAGCCTGCCAGCCGAGCTGGAGGAGCAAAGTATAGGAAGATTTGACTGGGGCCCCGCACCTCCAACAACCTTCAAGCCTAACAGCCCTGACTTGGCCAAGCACTACAAATCTGCCTCTCCACAGCCTGCTTTTCATCTCAAACCAGACACTCCAGTTTCCGTGAAAAAGCACCATGTGATTCAGGAGCTCCCTTTGGACAACACCTTTGTCGGGGGTTGTGACACCCTTTCCAAACGCTCTTCCACTAGTTCAGATCACTTCAGTGCCTCAGAATGCAGCTCCCAAGGAGGCTTCAAGACAAAGGGTCCCTTACACACCAGACAGGTAAACGAGCACTTTTACTGGTCTATAAGTACTGCATACAAGTGCCCAGTCAACCAGTATTAATGTGCCAGTGTGTCTATTGTTTTGGTCTAACTTTAGCTTAGTTCTAAAGAGGAAAAAAAAAAACTTGACCCCTTTTCTGTTCCTCTGGGGCTCAGTCAAGAATTTTTAGAACAGCTTTGAAATTTCTGAGTTCTGAGAATTATTTAACTTCCCAGTTTCCTTCAAATGGCAAAAGATGAAAAGAGGAAATTATTCCAAAGTGTCCCAAGATAATGTTTGCCGCAAAAGAAGACCCATCCTAATACGCCAAATTCTACTCTGGGGGTTTCCAAATTGACTGACTCAAGGTTTTCACATTACCATTTGATCTGAAAGTCACCTTCAAATCTCATGTTTTAAGTGATGTTTGAAGGTCTGATGTCAATTACGTTGGAGCTGTGGTTACTAAAGGGGTTAAATTTTTTTGGTCTCGAAACATGATAGTAGAATATCAAATGTACATCAGCTGTGAAGCACATGATTGTTGATAGATTGCAACTACTTGTAAGCCATATAGGAAGTCTTTTTTTTATTTCAAATTATTTTATTGTAATATAGTAAATTGGGTCTTTATTAGAAAGATTTTCAGTGTCTATAATGGCCAAATACTCTTTAAAAAAAAAAAAGTAAAAGAAAAAAAAAAGAAGAACAGGAATGCTTTCTTCCTAAATATAACTGATTTGTAGAGAAATAAATGAATCCATTGTAAATAGTCTCTCATCTTAGTAATGCATAAGTGATCAGTCATAACTCATTTTAAACTGTGAAATATACCATATGAAGAGGGATTAAGAAGTTGAGAAACTCATATATCAACCAAACCCAGAATTAGTTTTTCTTAGGTCTAATAATTCCTTGCTAATAAAGATTTAAATGCGGCGCTGTCTAATTTATTTCACTGGTGCTTGTCTGTTGCCACAAATCTGAATGTTGATAATAGCCTGTAGATGGCACTACGGTATCATGTCACTTGTGTTGGCCAGGTGCCCATCCTGCAGCAGCAAGGAAAGGGTGGGGGAGGGAAGGATCAAGCTGGTAGTGCAGCCAAAGATACCTTTTATTTAATGATGGTTGCTCTGGAGCACCTAGCATTTAAGTTCATTTGCTTGCTCTTTTGTGGTTAGCTCTCACCACACCAACTTTCTAGGATTTTGTGATCCAAGTTCTGTCTTTACTGGTATGGAGTCCATCTCTGGTGATGGCCCTTCTTTATTGTTAAAGAGCACATGGATTTCAGAAATTCAAGTAAAAGTGAATTAGATTAGAGAATTTTGACAGTTTTTGATGAGTCTTTAGAAAATTTAGAGCTTTTCTTTTCTGGGGCTAGGGTAGAGTGGGGTGTCTTATTGAAACTCTGTTTCACTCTTACCATCTATTTTTTTTAATTGCCAGGCACTCCTTTAAACTCCATGAGAATAAAGTATTTGTAAAAGTAACATTGACAATGAATCACACAGATACTCCCAGAATGCTAAGTATCATGCCAATTGATGTACAACTAAAACTCCACTTAGAATATAAATATCCAGAGCATTTTAGAAGTACATATGCTTAGAGTTTAAATGCACATTGTGAAAGGATATAAAATAAGTAATCAGCATTTAACCCTTAGCACAAACCATGAGATTATAAGACATAAATTGAATTATAATGATGAGTTATTTTCATGTTAGCTTTATCAGTATTTGAAAAGAAATTCATGTTTTAATATTTGGTAATTAACCAAGCTTATCAAAGATTGAGAGTTGTTAAATATGATAATAAAGGTATTTGGCAAAACTTAATGGGCTTAATTAAGAAGTTGCTATTTTAATAAAAAATCAGTTTTAGTGTACTTTTATTATGAAAGTTGTTTACAATATACATGTGATACTCTATGATTGGAAACATACTTTGAAAAAAACTAACCTGATTTAAAACTTTTAACATGCCATCTGACACTTGTTTTCTGAGGAAATGTATTGATATGCTTCTCACATCATCATTTTTTTCATGGAGCGTAATGGATATTAGCTTTGAGGTACAGACCAACTTCTTCTGATTTCTCCCCAATAGTTGAATTTATATGTGGTGAGGTAACATAAATGTTAAGTGCATTTCAGTAAAACATGGATAAGACCTTTTATTGAGGCTTAGTCATAAAGATACTTGTTCGAATGAGGTAATCTTTCAAATTGGATGTTGAGTAATTCTTTAACTGGAACTATCGTGCACTTTAGACATTCTTTCTGACCATGAGTCACTTTGCAGTTCTCTGATAGGCATTTGAGTGTTCAATATAGCTATAATTTTCTGTTATGATAAAGAGCTATGAAATAGGTTTCTTACACCTTGTAGAAATTTTCATGCTGCAAAGCGAAAATGGTAGTATTGGAGAAAAGGAATATTGGAAGTAAGGAGAGAGGTGACAGCAAGCAATATGTACAATTTTAGCAAAAGGAAGCATATTTTCTATGAACGAAGAACATAAATTATATATGAGCCTTTAAAAATGTTTTTCACTGAAGACGAGAAATGTTTCATGTATATGAAGATGTTTTAGCTAAGCTAAAAGCAAAAGTTGTTATTTTTGTCTCGTTTCCACTAGTGGCTTTTTATACAAAATGCATTCCTGAAACTATACAATTTTGAAAAAGTAAAGTTTATTATTGGAAAAGCTTTCAAAGTTATTTATAAACTAATAGTCTGTGGATATTTTTAGTTAGATGAGCACAAATGCAATTAGTGGTACCACTTTTTCTCTTTATGGTGCTAATTGATACGTGAGTAAAATGTAAGATGCTTTAGTAAAGGGTTACTCACTTATGTATGTTAATTTATATTATCTGTACAGTGAAAATATAATGTCTGAGAACACCCACACTATGAGTTTGTTTGTGAACCTGTTTTGCCTTATTTCTCCCCCCTTGCTGTTTTCTGTGGTTTCAACTTGCAATGAATGTAGCAAACAATTGTAAATCATGTTCCTCATTCACTTTGTCTTACTGTTTTCTTTTTCTTAAATATACCACATCTATCACTGAATTTTTGACAACTATTTTTCACAAATTTTGGAAATGCCTTTAGTATTCACAGATTGATAATTCACATTTTAAAGTAGAAGACTATATCTTAATACTGATTTTTAAAAAAAAGCAAGGTTTACTGCTCTAGTGTTAAGAGGATGATGGCATAATAAATTCTGAGAGGGCTTTAAATGCTACAGTTCATTGATGTGTTCGTCTAAAAGGAGAAAAGTATTATTGATGGTTATGATTTTTAAGTATAATGTTAGCCTTCAAATTGTGTAGCATTGCAGGATCATTTGGGACAGCTCTTAAAATGTGAGTTTTTGGGCCCCATCCAGAGATATTCTGGTTAAGTACCATTTGGTCAGGCCTGGACATTAATATTGCTGCTAATTTCCTAGTTAATATTGGTGCTGCTAGTTGAGGAACCGCACTTTGAGAACCTGCCTTAGCACGTTAGAACAGTACTTGACAGCCACGTTCCTTTTCGTATTTATCATGTCCAGCAGACCTGTTTTTGCACAGCCCAACTCTCAGCCCATTTATTGACAGCTGTTTTATTGTAGCTGGAGGCTTTACAGTAAGCTGTTTATTGCTATTTCCCAACTCAGCTGACAGCATTTGGGGAATTAATTTTCCTGGCCCCAGTGTGATTTTTTTCAAGGGGGTGGTAATAAATGAAAATGTTAACATAAAAAGTAATGATCTATTTACATTTGACAAGTTCTTCAAGTAATAAAACAATCCGAGAGAGTTTCACAAGAATCTGCTTTGAGTAAACAGTCATGTTTAATATTCTAAATGAAATGTTCATTTTATAGAGCTTAGACATCCTGACCTTAACTTTTTACAGTCTAGAATATTTGCTCATGTGTATATTTGTATATAAATTAAAGAAATTATATCTTCAAAATATGTATGTATGCTGTACTCAAGTGTTTACACATGCTTTTACAGTTAAAAAGGGAATTACTTCAATTCTAAAACACATAGAGAGACTACATTGCAGTTATGATTACTTTTCATTTTTGAATAATCCACTAAAGTCACTACTGAAGTGTTATTATGTCATGCAAAAAGCACAAAATCATCCCAGAACTGATACTTAACAGTAGTCAGAAAGAGAAATGCAACTGACAGGGAAGGGAGCAAATGTTATGGATTGTGAGCCTAACAAGAACTTTAAGATATTTTTAACTAGAAATAAGTTTTTTTTAAATCGGTACCAGGGATGGAACTCGCTACTGCTGCTTGCTTCCAAGCGGGCGCTTATGCTGCTGAGCTAAATCCCCAGCCCCTTAACTACCAAATTTTAAAGTGTGTGGATAGTGATGGTTAAACATAGGTGGCACATCATAAAAAATGCTCCTCAAAATACACATTACTTTAATAGTGTTATCTGTTGTGACTTTAATTTCTGCTCCTTGAGTAAGTGTACTAATGATCATGAAGTCAGTTTTGAAACTTTTAGGAGAAAGAAGAAACATAAAAACCCTAGCATATTGTAGTTTTTAAAATGAGACTGGAGTGTATCTATTCTAGTTAGTTGCATTTTCTCTTGAACATATTTGAGCGTCAAATATGTTTTTCATCTTGATACTTAACTGTAAAATTTAAGATATATTTTGCTATTTGTTCCTAATAACGTTAAAGAGAACTGACATGAAAGGTTGCTTTGACCTTTCTGTTGATTCCTGTTTTCTGTTGATTCCTAAATATACTTTGACATAAAAAATAGTTACTATACTTAAAGTATCTTATTCTCTTATTTTCAATTCTAGATTTCAAAACAATACACTTCAGTGTTTACCTTAGTTTCAGATGAGTCATCCTTGTGATGTGATACAACACACTTGTGCATCATTTGACTTACCTTGCAAGGCTAGGGGTGTAGCTCCGTGGTAGAGTGCTTGCCTATCACAGAAAAGGCCCAAAAGCTTAATCCCCAGT